GCAACCAACGTCGAGATGAGCCACACAGACAGGCAGGTAGCGGCAGGCGGAATCTGCCATCCTGCTGGGAATGAGCGTGGTCCCAGTGGAGCAGCAGGCACCATGCATGGGCTGCAGCCAGTCCACTTGCGAGAAAACCTGTTCCACTTCGCCCTGGACACCTTGACCTATGTCATATTCGGCTCTCCTGTGTCGCCTGCCATGCAGCATCACATGGCAAAAGCCATTGCTACCAGCGGCTGTTCGACGTCAACGATGAGGATGCCGACGAGAGCGCAGGAGCCTGAGGATGGTCTTGAAGATGATGCAACTAGGAGAATCATGAGCAAAGAAGCGTCGCTTCACACTATGGAGGGAGGCAAATCAGGCGATGATGTCAAGGATGATCAAATGGCAAAAAGGTTTTATGATGTGGTTCTGTCAATGATGCAGGTGGTGGGGATGGTACAGATACCGGACTTTGTCCCGAGTTTGAGGTTCTTCTACAGGGGTTATCTCCAGTATGTGCGAGGGGTGTCAAATACATTTCGCGCCTTGACCCTGGAGCTCATTGAAAAGCGGCGCATATTCCAACAGAATGTCGCTGGCAACAGCGGAAGCAGTTGCACAACGCTCGATCACCACCAAGCAGCGCTGAGAGAAGCTGGACTCATTAATCCGGATGCAATGGTGGACACGGTCTTCAATAACCTGTCTCCTTCGGGAACGAGCACGCCCAAGAACTTGGTCGCTTCTACAATGAAGGACGACGATGTGGTGTACGGCGAGACGGAGGCCTGCCTGCTGTTAATGGCCCTCGTGGCAGCTGGCACGGACACGACGACCTCTACGACTGTTTTTGTTCTGATGGAGTTGCTGCGCCACCCAGAGAAGATGGCGCTGCTGAAGGCAGAGCTAGATGAGGCCATAGGAATGCACAAGGTTCCGTCGGAGACTGATCTGGAGAATCTTCCTTACCTCAATGCCTTTCTGTATGAGACGCTGCGTATGCACAGCGTCTCTCCCATGCTCCTTCCCCATCAAGCTATGAAAGACGCCGTAGTGTTTGGATATGACGTGCCGGCAGGCACCACGGTCCTTGTCAATGTCTGGGCTATTATGCACGACCCTAAGGTGTGGTCGGAGCCATGGGAGTTCCGCCCTGAGCGGTTCATCCGAGACGGACTGCTGGCCGACGACATGCATCCTGATGGAAAGAACTTTGAGTTCTTCCCATTTGGATCGGGAAGAAGAATTTGCCCCGGAATTCGGCTCGCACTGACCACTGTGCGATTTGTTGTGTCCAGGTTGCTGCAGCGATTTGACGTTATGTTGCCACCTGGCATTAAGCCAGAAGACCTGGACCTTACTGAGCAGGATGGACTCGTTATCTTCCCGGAAAACCCCATGCCGGTCATCTTTCGTCCGAGATCAATGGGGTAATAGGGCAGGGTGGGGTCACTTGTTGTGTCCAGGTTGCTGCAGTGATTCGACGTTATGTTGCCACATGGCATTAAGCCAGAAGACCTCGACCTTACTGAGCAGGATGGACTCGTAATCTTCCCGGAAAACCCCGTGCCGGTCATCTTTCGTCCGAGATCAATGGGGTAATAGGATAGGGTGGGGTTACTGGGGTAGACTTGATTCGCAGCCGCCGGCTTGTTTTTCGGCCGACATCACTAGGGTAGGTAGCATAGACTAAGGGCATATTCACACCAGGACTTTTTTGGTCGGTGGCATAACTTAAAAGAGTAAGGGCATATTCACACCATGACTTAATCGCACTCGCATTCATCGAGGTTGTGCCACAATCGCGTGCAGATGCATTCAGGAAAGTACTAGGTTGAGTCTTTGAGAGTATGCCTGAAGATTGGACCCGCAGAGCTTCCTTGAGGTGATTCGTAGCCGCACTTTTTTGACATCTGTAGGGTCGGTAGGGATAGGGTTACGGCAAACTCTTAGTTTAGGACTTTTTCTGCTCGGCTCTAAACGTTATTGTGGTCACACTGATACAAGTTGGGCCGTAATTGATACGTTTAGGAAAGTACGAGTCTGAGTATGCCCTAAGATTGATTTGCAGAGCTTATTTGCTTTGACTCCTTTGAGTTCTTGGGGCTTGATGTGATCCGTAGCCGGCGTTTATTTGGCCGACATCCATGATAGGGTCGGTAGGGGTAGGGTTAGGGGTTAAGGATTCAAAGCACTAGACTAAGTGTGAGTATGCCCTAAGATTGGATTTGCAGAGCTTATTTGCGTTTACTCTTTGAGGTGATGTGGATGATGGTACGGTGAGCGTACTGTTAGGCGGTGGGCTGGTGGCTGATGGTGTATCTTAGACTGCCTCCGAATTGGTGCCGGCATGCCCTCTTCTCCCAAATAGAACGTACGGTCATTATGGCAGTATTTCGCACAACTTTCAGTCTAGAGATAGCGATAATCACCGTATGCTCTTCTGAGGAAGATGAGTTGCGCCGGCTCAGGAGATGGTGTTTAAAATTTTTGAGTGATTGTGGGCATACTCACACTTAGGGTCTGATCGCACCACTACACTACAGCCCAGGTACAGTGTAGTTTTGAGATCCCACCAGTTTCAGACATTGTTGTGCCTGCCAAAATATTTTGCATGTGTTTGGTTTGGGTGTGTTGTGGCAGCACGTCCACGAAGGGCGCCAACGTAGGTACTACAACTTTCGTGTAGACTGTGAGGGCTTCACGGCCTCGAAAAAGAGGGAGCAATTTTTTATTTTTATTTTTTCATATTTTCCGCTTGTCCGTTTGTAGAGGTTGGTATGTCCGAGGTCTATGAAGCTGGGGCAACCTGTGCCACAAAACCAGCACGTGGGGTGGTGTGTGGGAGAGTGCTGGCCATAAACACTGTTACTCGATGGGGGTAGGGGAAGTAGATGCGAGGCGCAGCTACTGGCAAAATGGCCGGTCTTTGCATTAGCACCCTACTCCCTGACCACCGCCAATTAGGGCATGGGGCACTGCCGAAATGCTCGGTCTTCGCTTTAAGTGACTGGTGTGGTGCGCTTCGCCCACCGGCCGGTGGGTGTGTGCAAGGATGAGTGGGTACAGTGTCTTTGCAAAGCTGTGTTCTTTTGGGGACGCTGGGCCCTGTTCCCATCACGTGCTGCTTCCCACGAATAAGACTGGAGCCATCACCGCCCCTACCGCCCCTACAACAGGCATGGTAAGGCGCCATAATTTTTGTCTTTTTGCCTTTGGAGGCTTTGGTGAGTGGTGCAGCGAGACTCGTACGACTGGCGCAGAGAGAGTCGGAGACTCTGAGAGGTGTTGTTTAGCGACGTTTTTGTTTCTTTGACAAAGGCCGTTCAGTGTTTTTTCTTTTTTACCCGGTTTGGCAAATGCAGTGGGTTTCTTTCTTCTGTATTTTTTTTTTTTCGTTTTTTGGGGAAAGGTACAGTGCGAGTGTGTGGAAACGTTTCGGTTTGGGGAAAAAGAAAAAAAAAAGTTTCGGTAAAGGCAATGCTGTGGTTCTCGCTGCCAAATGCCTTGAGGCTTGTACCGGCTCTGCGGGGCTGTGCGGGGTGATGCTCGAGAGCCTTGTCTGCCCATCTCACTGACATGCTGAAGAAACACTGAGGGGAGCTATTCTTTGGACCTTGTGGACATCTTAGGGACCCCCACTTTTCAGCCCCAGTTAACCCCCTCAACCCTGAAAGAGGAAACTGCTCCGGAGTCACACTTTTAGTTCAAAATAGGCAGGTAAAACACGTCATGGCAACATGAACGTCGTCGTAGTTCAGATAGGCAAGAAAAACACTTAATGGCAACATCCTCGTCGTCCAAGTTCAAATAGGCAAAAAAAACATCAATTTTTTTTTTTTT